ATGCCATCCATCCATCTTGCCTTTGATTGGCCCCTCTTCCTTTTCCCTTCCATTTTCCCCAGCATCATTGTCTTCTCTAAGCTTTGCTCTCTCCTCATGATGTGGCCAAAGTACTTCAACTTTGTCTCTAGTATCCTTCCCTCCAATGAGCAGTCGGGCTTTATTTCCTGAAGTACGGACTGGTTGGATCTTCTCGCGGTCCATGGCACTCTCAGATTTTTCCTCCAACACCACAGTTCAAAAGTATCTATCTTCCTTCATTCAGCCTTCCTTACGATTCAGTTCTCACATCCATAAGTTACTACAGGAAATACCATTTGTTCTGTCGCGCGCTGGGCCTGTAACAGCTGTACTTTTCTAAAGGACGTATACTTTAAGCCCAGCGGGAAGCCAGGGGCGCCTCAAAGAGAGGTTCTCAGGGATTTTTCTGAAGTGATGGTCTTTAGAGTCTTTAATGATACAACAAAGTCTTTATTACGGAACAAACAACAAATCTTCAATGGTTCAAACAACACTTCAAGGCTTTCTTAGTCTAGTCCTCAATGGGCTGGTACTTAACTTTAATTAACTGTACTTTCTCTGTAGGAAAAACTCTATTTAACCTCTCCCAGGCTGTTTTACTATCTATGTCTCATCGGTGTGGGTCCTACTACCGATTCCAAATGCGTCTGGATATCGAGTAGACCTACCAGCTGAGGCTTGAAGATATTTCAGCTGGTGTTCCGTGGATCTGTAATGCTGTCCTCCCTCAGAGAATTCTTTGAAACTTCAGGGCTGTTTTCCCTCTGATTGCTGTGAGGCTGAGAGCTCTCAGCCAGAGCCTTGGACCTTTTCCCTGGAATTTCTGTTTCTGTTTCCCCGGATGGTCTGTTCCCCTGGATGCTCTTGGGAAAAGAAGCTTTTCTACGGGACGAGCTGGTCTACGTCCTATAGTTTAGCTTCCTTGTGTGAGACTGACCAAAAAAATGGCTCCTTTCCCTCCCAGAGCCCTGAACAAGGGGTGGAACCAAAGCTTAATTACGATGGACAGGAGGCCAGCCCTATGATTGCAAACAGATAACAGAAAGAAAATAAAGTTGGAGCTCCTGGTACAGCTGTACCAGCACACCATTGCTTTAACTATGCAGATCTGCATTGCCAGTGTGATGTCTCTTCTCTTCACTATCTTATTGAGATTGGTCATTGCTCTCCTCCCAAGAAGTAAATGTCTTTCGATTTCCTGGCTGCAGTCTGTGTCTGCAGTTATCTTTGCACCTAGAAATGCAAAGTCTATCACCGCTTCCATGATTTCTCCCTCTGTTTGCCAGTTGTCAATCAGTCCAGTTGCCATAATCTTGGTTTTTTTGAGCTTCTAGGAAAAAAAGAAATAACTGCAGCTGATGGTCACAAATAAGGTATTGGTCTGTAGCACACTGAAAGAGGAAAATGCAGGTCCCCCAAATCAATTATCTTAAGTAATTCACAAGAGCTTTAGGAGGAAATATATTCTAAGGCTTGTAGAAGTGGGTAGTATATGAGCTTGACAATGTAGTAGAATCTGGATTCAGTAGCAGGACCTGTAATTTACAGAAAATCAATTCATCCAAAAAACATTATAGCAAAGACTTATCAAGTCAATTTATCAAATCAACCTCCTGTGTCTTTGTCGCTACAGTCACAATAGTTTAGCTGATGGATACGTACTGAGGGCAGTGTAGTTCCAGCCTCAGAGGGAAGCCCAGAGTTACTAAACATGTCATTATATCAGTTGGAGATCTATGTGAGAAACCAGTCACTTTAGATTTCGTAGAACAGTCCTGAACAACAGAAACCCTAGCCAAATGCATGCAGTGGACAAGAATTCTGGGAGTTGAAGTCCAAACTGCCTGGAGGGCTACATGTTATGCAGGCCTGCCCTAGAATGAGGTGGGAAGGCATAGTAAAGATGGATTGAATCTCCATTGGATTGACTAATTGACTCATAAGTATAGAGCAATCATTGGATGAAGTCACGGAGCTTTCTCATTTCTTCACAAAAGCACAGCAAATGTGTCCGAAATAAATGTTGGGAACGCTTTTAGTAAAAAAAATTAGAAGGTGCTTTTACATCACTATTGCATCTGCGAATACCCACTAGGTGGCAGCCATACACCTTTTAATGTTTTTAATGTTTTAAAAAGCCTAGTCATCACATATTGTTCAAGTGTGTGCTAGGAAATAAGAATAGATTCCTGCTTGTCCTTCACATGAAGAGAGAGGTCTTGCAATATGCAGGTGCACTTAATCTTTTCCAAATATACAAAAGTCTCATAAAACCCTCCTTTACTATGTTATGTATAACACATTCAGAAGAACTTAATGTTTATCTAGAAGTACTTCAAGGCACATAGTGAGAGATGAAAACCTCTTACCCTGAAGGAGTCAAAAGATCTGCCTCTGCTGTCTTGTGTAAACCCTGCCAACATGCAATTTCCTTTTCCCAGTTCTCAAGTTTAATGTGTCAGAGCAGCAAGCTCTTTAAAGAAAAAGGTATATTTTCCTAATGAGTTGATAAGATATAGTCTTTTCAATTGTTCAGGAGATCTAAAGTGCTATAAATCTAAGTTATTAAAGTCAATATACTGAAAATATATGTCATTAGTTAACAAGGATGTGGTATGGTATCATATGCCATGGCTAGTCCATTTGAGGTTGATGGGCACCTGCCCATGGCACCAAACTGTAATTGGCATGGCTAGACAGTCGAGACTCCCTGACATCTCTAAGGTGGCTCAGGAGTCCCTATCACAACACCAAGAGGGTCAATCTGTCCAAATCTGTCATTCCTTCTCACCTGTTACCAAGGAGGCTGTCCAGATCTTGAACTGGTGCTTGGCTGCTGTGTCGGACTGGATGAGAGCTAACAAATTGAAACTGAATCCAGACAAGAC